AGCCTGGACCAGAAGATCCCCAGGAGCCCCTTCTAACCTATTGTGTTTTATGATCTTTGATCAAAACGGTGAGGGGTGGAAACTTAGCACATGACTGACGGGATATGTGATTTGTACCTCTACAGTCCTACACCATATTTGGGATAAACTGAAATCTCACCAAGTCAAAGCTGTAACACAGAAAGAACCTTTAGCAAAATGTACCTGACCAAAACGAAAATCACAAATAAACAGCTATGTAAATAAGAAAATTTATCACATGGTAGTGAGCTAATTTTGTGCCACTGCATCTGACTGCTAAATATGCTTGTAGCATCACCTGCTTTATAACAGCACATACACACTTCCAGACAATAATGAATAAATATGCAAGATTCCTTCCTATTCCTTTTAACTTTTAAAACTGCAAACCTAAATACGTGAATTTCTTCCATAAGCCTTCAGAAAGACAGAACTTTGATGTTTTTAAAAAGGAAATATTATTTACTTTTGCTACAGGCAAGAAATTAAAAGTTTCTTTACCGATTCTGCCAAATGGCTATATCATGGGGTTTTTATTTTCATCAAAACAAGCCATTTTAATTTAAGGTTGTCCCATAACTACACTGTAATTTTGGGGGTCAGATCAACTTGATGAATCTCTCTTATTTCTCTGCCCAAAAGACTCCTCCAAATCCAAATGAACCAGAGGGGAAGGAAGTTTTATTCCACACTTGGCAATTACTACAAAGAATATAGGTTGCAGTTTTGCTTTATTTTGTTTGCGTAAGCAGAACAGACAACCCAGTAGTATCCATGTGGTTTTTAAATTAAATAAGCTGAATTCAAACACAGTGGTTAATACACTAAAACCAATGGAGCTTAATTAAGGAACAGCAAAACTTGCAGGTGAAAGAAGAGAAGGGGAAAGAGGAACAAAGTGAGGAAGAAGGTTTTAAAAAGCAAAATAGATATGCAAAAATCTGCACTGATACAATACACAGAACACGTTTCATATACCAATACGCAAGATACTTTAAGAGTGGGAGCCAAGCCCTCCTGTACTAACAGAGAATTTGCAAAGATACAGCTCTTCAGTATTCAGCCTACCAGGACAGTTTCTGGTTTAAACTACACTGAATCCCATGAGCACAGACAAAATCCAGACCATCATCAATCTAGAGACAACAGGCAACACTTGACAGCACAGCATCTCATCAATCTTCATTTGTCCCATCACATCCTGTCATTCTTATGCAAATAGCATATTTGAGGATACATCTTTTCTGCACCCCACAATATGGAGAAGTGAAGCTGTCAGGAGCACCAGGATGTCATCCTACACCACAGGCCATCACTTCACTCAGCGCCTTGTGTTTTACATCACAGCTAACGTGTCTGACATTCAAATCTGGCTCAGCAGGAGCTAAAACTATCTGACCCCCAGCAACATGCATCTTGCTTCCTGTGCTAAAACTTTCACTAAGGTCCCCAGGCCGGACAGACTCTCTGCTTTCACTGTACTCTTGCTAATGGAGATTGAAACTTCTTCAGAGGAAAAAAGATATCTGCATGGGCAGGTAATGATAGCAATTCACCCTTCTCACCCAGGAAATAAACCCGGTACTAAAAGGCTGGGAAAACAGATTCCACTGGAAAAGAATAAAAAGACACAGAGACCCTGATGAATTGGTCCAGGTTTTCTTTCATGGAAATTTTTCAGACTACACCTGAAAATTTGTCTACATATATGTCTGAATAGAACATTTAATTTCAAGCTAAGTAAATGATAGCGTTCAAAATACTTTATGCAAGGTTTGTGGGGATGAGGGACCTCTCCTGTTAGGCCAACTGATAGATGGGAACATACAGAAAGTTTGGAAACATAAGAAGCTCCATAAAATTACTGCAAAATATTTTAGGTATGAAAAAAATCACTCCTGAGTGGGTAAGTCACCAGAAACAAAAAGCATTTACCAGTTAATCATATCAATTCTACTTACAGAATGAAGAATAAAAGGGAAGATTTTACTATTATTACTGACTCAGAGTGTTTTGTTTCTGTATCACTTTCAAAGAATGTTCAGAACATCTTGTTCTCAAATATTTCCCTTCTAAGAGGAATCATTTTCTGTACCATACATGGCTGAAAACCGTACATGCTGGTTTTGTTTTCTTATGAAGAACAGAAACCATCCTCAAGTATTTCCAGCATCACATGAATGAGATGCAAAGTAGCTAAGTGCTACAAACGTGGGACACAACCTTGTACTGAAATATTATTCCAACACTATGATGATATCTTAGAGAAATTACCTTATTATTAGACATTCATAGCAAGTCAAAACACGTTTACCGTTAAACACAACTTTTTATAAAGTCTGACTCAAAAGCTATTCACTACCCAAAACAACATACTGTAGTGTTTACAGAGATGGTGAAGTCTGCACTAGGCTCAGGGGAATACCCTTACATTTGATATTCCCAAATACTGCTTTCAAACTACAAAAGAATAACCATCACATATGTGTCAGTTAAGAAGCAGTCACATAAATGAAGATCCTGAATGGATTATTACCAATTTTGTAAGTGTATATTGTAAAACCTACAAAGCATGCATTCCTCAAACATTTATTGGTTTCAAAAGTGAAAAGGTAGTTGCAAGAAGTACACCAGACATGTTCCCAGTCCTTGGAAGGAAAGGACACAGACTGCCTTGAGCCTATAAACCATATGTAAAGTTAATGCATTAAAATTACTGTAGAGTCATCACACACCTACGAAAACAGGACACGCACTTATTGTAATATACGGGTGAAATATATAAAATATCAAATTGATTTAACAAAATGTTACCTTTTCAAAGGGATCACTGATCACAAAGTAAACTAAAAGCCCATACTGAAAGATTTCCCATGAAGTGAAATTCACAGCACAAACTTTCCGGTGCCAGGCTTCTTTCTTCCAGGATTAAAAAATAAAATAAAATAAAATGTGCAACTCATGCACTGCAAATATTACACAGACCCAGGACATGGTGGTGGGCTGGTATAGCCTATCTGGTCTGGATGAAGCATGACGCAAGCAATACCAACTCATGTGACTCTCCAGTCCTTTAAATCCCAGTTTAAAACTCCCCTTCCTCCAGACCTGTGGAATTTTGTTCTGCTACTCTGTAAACAAATGCTTTCTACAAAGCTACCATAAGTTATTATACCTTGGTAAAAATAGTTCTAAATAAAAATCTAAAATATCCATTCATGGTTTATTGCTAATAAAATTCCTATAATCACACAGCTTGCTGCTATGGGTGGCACTGTCTCAGGCAGCTCCTACTTCTTTACATTTAGAGTCAAGACTACCGACTTTATTAGGGAAAAGAACACATAAGATATGTTGTCACCTAAACACAATTGTGCTGTTAGCTCTTTAAAGTTTACCACCCCACAAAATTCAGATGCACAAAAAATGCCAAATTTTTACCCACCATATTAAAATGAAAACTTTCAGCACCGGACTAAGTGGTCTGGATTTGCACCAGTAATGTAGGTACAGCTGGCATATATCAAGAACCTAGGTATCGAGGTGTGGTACCCTTAACACATGGTAGTACTGCCCCAACATTGCCAATATTTCAAATATATACTGTCTCAATATACCAATATTTCAAATGAAAGCTAAAATATAAAAAAATAGCATTCCCTGTAGGCCCAAGAGAAATCCAGCAACAGGGAGAATGACAGTGAGCTGAATTCCCAGGTGGTGACACAGATAACACAGTACAATGTTGAAGTTGGAAATTTCCCTTCTGTTCAACAAACAGAATTTTTTCAAATTCAGCTCAGTCCAAACCCAAAGAATAGGAGCCAAAGAAAAATTTAATCTGCTTGACAAAAGTGGAATTTTGAAAATTTCATTTTTGCACAAGCATATTTTTCACGGAATATTTTTCATATTTTTATTATCTTTTACTGAAAACTTTCTGATAACTCTACTTTGCCTTGGCAGGCACACTTTGTCAGGACACCAGCTGTATGTCTTTCTCTGGTTCAATAGGGAAAAGGCTGTGTTCTGATCAGAAAAAGCAAGGTATTTTTTTCCCCAAGATTTCACTGTATATGAATCTTACTTTAAAATGTGTGCTTCATACATGTTTTATGCCCAAATTCCCCAAAACAAACAGAAAATCTATTCCAGACACATCTTAAAATGGGAGAATCTGTTAACATTAAAAAGATTTCAGAAACCTATAAGAAATCCTGGAAAAGTTCAGGAAAAATCAATTGCATTAACCTGTCATCAAATTCATGAATGTTGTGAAGGTGAAGAGATGTGGAATAAAGAAACACACTAACACTACAAAATGTATCACAAAGGGAATCACTTCAGACTGGTCTATCTACTGCACTTAGCTGTGAGAATCCACAGCAGTGGGAGACAGTTTTAAAGTGGATTTTGTAGAGGGCTGCTGGGTTGGTTTTGGTTTTGCAGGTTTTCCACAGTAAGCATTACAACCCTCACATTTTTATTAACTTGAAATGTTCTTGTCACTCCAGAAGAGATGTTGCAGGACCTAAAGAGAATTTGCACTGTTTACATTTGGAAACCATATTGCTAGCAGCAGGCTAATGGCACTACTGAGATAGTTAGTCTTTCAAAAGGAAATAACTAATGAAACCAACAAACTCATGCATAAATAAACACAACAGAAGCAAAAACTACAGAAGCAGTTTGACAGAAATGTTGTTGCACAAGTTCAACGAGCTTGATTTAAGGAAAATTTCTTCTAGGAAAAAGATACTTAAGGCTATCACAAAACATTTTGTTTCTGTTAAATATTCTGCAGAGAGGAAAAAAAAGTGAGGGACAATCTTTGCTTTTGCCGTTTCTTCATTTGAAAACTTCTACTTTTAATCATTAAATTGACTAGACAACAGTTTGGAGAGAAACAGAGGAAGGAATTACAGCAAAATCTGGTCTTCTCCAGGGAACAGGATATACGACAGTGTGTCTATTCGTACCTTGTCTATCATGTCCGGTCTGTTTGTAGCTGCCAAAATTGTCACATCCTTCAGCTGTTCTATCCCATCCATTTCCGTTAGCAACTGAGCCAAGACACGATCTGCTACATTTCCAGCACCTGAAGAGCTTATTTAGAAAAAAAAAAAAAAAAAAGTCCCAGCATTAGCTTTCCCTTCCTAGAAAACTGGAGAAAGGAAAGAACGTCTTGTTCTTTTCGATTTACAGGGATCCATCTCTTTATCTGCATTCCTTCTGGTTCTTATTTTCACCTTCACTCCCTGAAACTTTATCAGTCATGTGAAGTGAGTAAAAGCAAACTGCAGAATTAGTCCTTTAAAGGACTGCTGAATACTGCTTTGGTATTCAGCAAAGCAACTGAGGTTTTCTTACTTCCGACCCTGCTATGTAGGTTATAAAGTGTTTAAGACAATGTGGATGTCTGGAATATTTCTAAAATAACTGGATTTCCTTCTTAGTCAGACAAACTTTTATTTTAGCACTATCCAAAGGAGTGCTTACATAACTACCTAATTTTTGTACTGCATAGGGTTATGTATTTTGCAGAGTTGCTCTACATTTTATGTTCTCCCCATCAAATGAGAATAATACAAGTGCCTTCTAATAGCATTGTCAGTCCTTTAACTCAGCTGATTCTACAGATACCAGGAAAACAAAAGAAAAAAAATCAAGACTGAGAAACAGAAAATTCTAGTTTTGAAATCACCAAGATGTGAAAACCCTGAACAGACGAAGCATAACTATTCTGGTGTTTTGGTTTCTTGTTGTTTGGGTTTTTTTAATTTGGAATCAACTCTGATAACCTTAAAGTTTATGGAAGATTCACTCAAATTGCTTAACTATATGTAACAAAAAGCATTCCAGAAATAAACTCTTATTGTTTTCATTAAAGCTTCCAATATTTTAAAAAGAATAAGCAAAGGATGTACCACCTTGTTCCCAGACAATTCTTTAATGCATATAAGTATGTGCACACATACATGTATGTGTGTATCTGCACATATTCACACATAAAACAAAGAACACAGAAAAGGAAGACATTGCATAAATCAAACCAAGAGAACAAGCACTTGTGATAAATAATACATCTCATGAGGGTTGTGTTCTTTATAACATTGTTCTAATTCTTCATAAAGAGGTTTTATTTCCGAAATGTTATTAAAAAAACACAGGTCATCACCCACCATATCGTTTTTTGTTTTTGAAAGGACACTAGACCTAGCAGATACTAGGACCACACACAGGTAACTGTATACACTCATATGTTGGCAGATGCACTACACAAATGATATATGTGTTTCTTGCAGTACCCAGCAACCTAAACACTGGTTTGCATGAAGGAATATTAGATTATAAAGATAAGCCCTGCAATTATTTCTAGCAGATAGAGAATACTCATAGATAGTTGCATTGTTATTACACACATATATTGCTGCAGCACTGCCATCCACCACCAACATGCCTGAAACCAAAGCGCTTCGTAAATGTCTCAGAGCCAAAGCAATAGTAACAACTCCGTCGTTGCTCTACAGATGTCCTCCAAAGGAATTCTCTTGCTCTCCTATTCAACACCTGGCTCTATAATTTTCCAGTGCAAAACAGTTAACTTATCAGACCTAGTCTGGAAAGTATCTTTGAAATGTCAGCTAACAGAATATTTAGGTTGCTAAGGTATATTAGAGAAGGGACTTGGGTTAGCTAATTGTCAGCTTTTTTGGTTTGCTGCAGCCATGTCAGAAATTCCCAGGTGATATTACAATATTTCTAACATACCCATTGGTCACGGTCCTATTGACTTATAGAGGGTTGAAAACAATAAAACACTTCAGGTGTTAGACATGGATAGTAAATGCTTTTTTGAAGGACACAGCTTAAAGGAAATTAAAATCAACTTTGTAACTTAAGCTTGTCTCAGTAGGGAGTCAGGCCTCCCATTCTGCTTAAATTTCACGTTTACTCAACTTTATACCCAGCAGACTGCACACAAGAAAAAGCTAAGCAAAGTCAAAAATGAGATGATCTGAAACTGACACTGGAGGACTTCAGGGGAAAAGGAAAAAATATCTGGTTTTAAAGAGAGGTGGCTAGAACAGATATTACATCTCATCTTTCCCCCATATAAACATTTCTCTTGGAAGCTTCACACTGAAAAAAAAGGTAAAATTAATGTATATTGTAAAGAAAATCCACACTGTTATAGGGCAATGTACATTGCAAAGACTTCCATGCAATTAAGAAGCAAATAATCAGAAAATTGCAGTTAAGCAAACACTGATGGCATCATACAGCTCAAACAATGAAGGGAAATACCAGGGCATTGTTTGGGTATTTATTATTAACTGCTAAAAGTGGAGGGAAAAAGGTCTAAAACCAGCCATGCAAAAATACCAATAACACAAACAGTACCAAATGAAGAGGTGTCTAGGACCTACGACACCAGGAATTTCCAATTTCACCACTTTTATTTACATTGTTCACTAAGCTGCCGTACAATGCACCATTTTTAGAACAGAGTCTACAGCAAATTAGCTTTTGGCTGAATAGGATACCCTATAAAAGTCACAGTCAGGCACAGGTTTACAGTGAGATCCCTATGGCAGCTGCTCGGAGCTGCACCATGCACTCCGAGACCTCTAGTGCTGCCTAAGCTGTTAATCTGAAGGATGACACCCAAGTATGCATTTTTCCATTTCCCTATGTTTTCCCAGCAAGGATTTTAAATTAACACAGGCAACATTCATTAAAGCTGCCCAGACTTTTGACACAAACGGCAGCCAGAGAAACAAATTATGATTAACCCTCCAGTCCCACGGAGGCCCTGCCAAAAACAACTTCCAGCTAAGGGGCCATGTTTTCCCCACCACCACCACCACCTGACCTCCACACATTGATGTCATCATCACAACTGCATGGAAATAGTCCTCAAAAGGCACGTCCTGGTACACTCTAATTTCCTGTCAACACACCACCTGCAAATCCAGGCAGTCAGAATTAAGCCTCTCACATAATCCACACAGGGTGACATGTGCACAGGTGCACATATGCAAAAGTTGTGCCCTTAACCAGAAATATCTTGAACTTCAAAATAAAAAACGTGTGAGCAAAAAGGAATCTGGCTGCTTCGTAAAGGCATGAGAATTTCAAGTCATCTCTTATGCTGCCCTCATGAAATACATTTGTCTGTAGGCTATGTGTTAATCTTCTCGCCAACCCTCGATGAAGGAGTTTTAAAGGCAAAAAAAGTCTGCTTACTAGTTTATTACATCACTTAGAGCCAGATATCCTCCTGTATGTGATATTTCAGCTAATCCTGCAAGTGTCCCACCAGTCTCAGACCAAGAACATATGCGCTCCTGCTCAGGCACTTCACTCGACCATCAGAGAAGCTTCCTGGATGGCAAAAGCCTCTTGGCTAAGACTATCCATGGATTAAAACAACCATTGAAGGCAAATATGAAAAGCAAAACCTGTTCTTGGTATTTTATTTTAGCTAAAGGTACTTTCAAAACACATTTTGACAGAATAAAACACTTTTACAGTGTACCAAAGCCTCACAATCTGAATTAACTCTGGCCCTGTCTGATGAAACTGACTGATCATGAGCCCCAGCTCCAAATTTAATATAGCAGGTGAGAGCACTCCACAGAACACTTTCTTACCTCCTCTGGCCTTATCCAAAGACTGTTCTAACCAGCTGGATTCAGATCTCAGTGGGCAGTGACATTTCCCCTTAGACACCTTAAGCCACTCTCATACATCTTCCTGGGCACATAAAAAGCAACCGCAGCCTGATTCTATCACTGCATCATGGAATATATACAGTTCCCTAGCTTATATAGCTCTTCAAGCCAAGGAGATTTTGTTTCTGGACATAACCAGATGTATGAAATCACTTGATTTAAATCTGTTACGCTTCATGCTACAGGCTTTTTATTTGTTTGTTTGTTTGACAGCAACTGACTTCTTTCATGCACTTTTAATTGCTTACGTTCTTTTTCTATCTCCCTTATATAAACGATTTTTTTAACACTTGAAACCTAAAAACAGAAAACAGTCTGAAAATGTATTCATTATGGTTTCACCTCATGGTGAAATTTGGTAAGCATCACCACTGCGAGCTAAAGCAAATGTACACTTGCATCATCTGACAACCTAGAACACTTACAAAGACAATGGAATTAATGTTTTTTCACAACGCTAGATGTCATTTTCATTGAAAAATGTATTTCAGTTTCAATCACCATTTAAATCCTGTTAAGGAGAACCACTGACTCTCCATCCCACTACTCAGACAGGCACTGAGGCCTGTCTGAGCACCTTAGCTTCAGAATCAGGACCTTAATTTAGTTATGTTTCTAAACTGTAAATGTGGAAATTCAAGAAACAGTCACACAATAACATTTTCAGCACTCTAAAATTCACAGCAACTGTGAAGCTACAAAACCAGAAGAAAGTCTGGGAGGGCCCCTCTCCTGAAAAGCCCCATTTCTGCACAGATGTCCCTACCTCAGGCAGATCCCTGAGGTCAAAGAGGCAGACCTCAGGAGAAATATCCTGGATAAATTACTGCAGAGGGATTAATTGCCACACAGCTGAAATCTGTAACACAGGTTTTGTGAGAAGGGAGTACAGGCCAGCTTCTTTTCCAAAATGTCCTATCAGGCAAGATTTACATACAGATGAAAGCTGTTTGTTTGGGTTTTTTTTCCTCACGACAACAGAATCACAGTCATAATCAAAATTTCAGGGTTTCAAAAACACTTGTGGATGTGCTATCATCTCAAATCCTTACCTCACTGGAATCGCTGGAAAGAATTTCATATCAAAGCAAATATAAAACTCATTGACATGACAAAATGGTTGGATAAAAAAATTATTTTACGTTGAAATAGAACTTTCTGGCAGAACTCTCCGCTTCCCCACAAACTATGGAGGTAAAAGGTTCCTGAAATACCCAAGCCCCCTGCCAGCACGCTTCCATGTGAGAGTCACCTTGCTCGCAGAGCCTGAAGGATTTTTATTAAGTCTGACTTTTTTGTCAGGGCTCTGCAGGGGTAACCTGTCAGCAAGGAGCAACCACCAAGTCTGTCTTGTCAGTCCAACTGCTG